AATACGTCCTCATTAGAGCACAAGAATCCTGGGAAAGTATTTATTACGTTGGCAGTCGGAAAAAGCGGCGACATACTGGTCCAACTCTTCTTGTCGAAGCTGTAATTCTGCCGAGTCCCGTTCGATCTGCTCATCCAGGAGTTTGGACTCGTTCAAAACGCGAGCTAACTCCTCTTGTAGAGAAGCCAACTCAGCTTCCTCGGGTGAAAGTTCGAGATCTGAATTGGCAGTATTGCAGCGGAAGATGGGGGGATCCCCGCTTGGAAGAGGAACTGGCGTCGTGGTTGGAGTGTCCGTTGAAGGATACCGAGCAAAGGAGGAGCAGGAACTTTCATTCGGCACATCCGACGAGATTTCCCCTGGCAGAGCAGACGGGGATGATTTTTCTGTTGAAATTCCTGTACCCAAAGACTCGGGCGGAAAGAAAACCTGATCCTGACCAGAAAATGTGGTAGATGGAGTGTCCGCCGTTGCGCTAACAGGCTGTTCGTCGGTGGGGGAGGCGGCAGACTTAGCGTTCAGCTGACTGAGGTAAGCTCTGGGGACGAGAAAAAGATCGGGTGCAAGGGGGAACAGGGGACAAACAAAATATAAGTTTCGAGAAGTGGGTGGGGGGCGGGGGGGAGTGGACGTACTGGAGGCAGGACAATTCATCCAATTGGAAATCGAGTAACTGCTTCTGGGTGTTGATAAGAATATCTGCGCATTCCTGACACATAGGATGATCGGGTTTGACCCGGCCACTCAGGATATCAAAGAGGTAAGCATTAACCTGCAAATATAATAGAAGGAAATATTAGAGGGCTGTGGAGCGGGAAGAGACAGTGAAAATGGTTGAGAAAATAAGGTTTTCAAAATGACTAAACGAGTTTTTTTTAACTAGCGAAGGGGAGCATACTTAAGCATCTTTCGGTGTACTAAAAATATGCCAAACAAAAGGTAATTTAAGAAAAGCAAAATCAGTGGCAATTGGCCTTCTCTCAAGTCGTCTAATTCGGTCCTTCGTTAAGATTTTTAAAGCTATATAGTTTGAAAACTTCAATGAAAAGAGCAGTATTGTTGCCATCTCAAAGGCTACTGACCCACGACCAATTTTCAAGAGAAATGAACTTAGTCCCGTGAATGTGGGTTATAAATTAGGTCTCAGGAAAACTGAGGAAAAGGTTAAAGCTACGAGCTTAAAGTCAACTGTAGGACGTCGGAATATTTTATAAAATAATGTCAAATAGCAATGGTCTCATTTTGAAAATCGGACTCTACAGGCCGACTTCAGAAATATCCCAAATCCGAATTTTTCTTCTTTCGCGAACGCAAACCCTCCCTCTTCCCGTGGATTTCAAATAAACGATAGGAGAGGTCAAACATACGGAGAATAAAACGTGGGGAATTCTGAATCCCTCCCCCCAAGGCCTTTTCACTCATTCAGACGTGCATAAATGTGTAGTTTGGAGTACAACAATGGAGTAGGGTTATATTGGGCTGTTCGGAAAATACTGACCGATTTTATAAGCTAACATTTATTCTTAAAAACGACAACACTACGCATATCAAAATTAATCAAAGTATGATCCCAGGACATCCATGCATCACTGCCATCAATGACAAAGATCATTGTCATTAATGGCAGCGATGCATGGATGTCCTGGAATCATACTTTGATTAATTTTTTTTCATTGGGATGTTTTGTTGTCTAAACAGTGTGCGTAAGCTTGAAAAAAAAATGGTAGTCAATGAGTGAAAGATTGGGAAAATAGGGAGGATGTGGTAAAGTTTCGTATTCCAAGTTATTCAGTTTCCGCAGTGTCATCCTGGCAAAATTTTGTCGTGGAGCAGAATTTGGCCACTTCGATTGACTAATATAGGTCTCGCTTTTTCCAAGTGGACACGCTTTTTTCGAGTGCATTGTAGTAAGCCTAAGTACCGGTGCTCTTACTAGCCTCGAGGAAGCTGTAATGGACAACAAAAACTGTAGACCACCAGACTGTTACCGTTATCTTCTACTGATGTAACTTCGGTTCGAGGGTTCGAGGGTTTCATCACGATTAAGGCATTATCCTGATCGCCTACGGTTATCAAAAGATATCTAATTTTCGTCACACAGCACTACTCGAAAAGGAAATGGATCATTCGAGTTTCGCAGAGGAAGCATCTATCGTTCACTCACTGAATACCACCTTTCAAGCATCCAGACACTTTTTGGAACAACCGAACTGTCCAAAACAAAATTGAGGTGGAAGATGGATTTAAGCCAGTGGATGTTTACCGATGAGACTTAAGTGACCTTGCTCATCAATGGCAGAGATGCATGGTTGTTCATGGATCCGACTTTGACTACCTTTAATGTATGTAATGTTAACTTCTTTCAAGAATGCTCGCTTCTGAACAACCGCCAATGAAGCTTAGACTACCGACGGACTTTGCCGGGTGCAAATAGGCGGCAGAACTTGCCTGTAGGCGGTGGTCCATGCTGGAGGCAGATGCGGACGTGTGCGAGGCGCGAAACAACGATGGTTGCTTAAAGGCGTCCTGTGAAGTAAGTCGTCGCCTGTGTGAGGAATAGTACACTATTATTTGTTG